AGCTCACCTCCTGCAATATGGGCCTTATAGCCGTCTGTCTATAAAATATCATGGCTGCAGGCAATTTGTCGATGGCTAGATAGGTAGAGAGTGCTTGTCTGAGTGGGGCGCCAATTAGGCGAGCTGAAGAAGGTGCCACATGCAGTCTGAGGCTCCCTGATTCGGTCCCAGACTCTATTGCGGAGTTGGACACCCCTTTTTTTAGAGACTGTTGGCAAGCCTGTAGGCCGAGTGTGAGTCGGGCTTCAAGCTGCTGCTGAAGACGTTCGGTGATGGCCTGAATACGAGGAGATAGAGTAGTGAGCAGAATAGGGTGTTCACGGCAATGGCGAGTGAAGAAATGAAGCTTAATAAACTCATTTGCAACGCGTTCAATACGCTGACCAACATCCTCTTGAAGCCTATGTAGGGGAAAAAGCGAATCGGGATTATGGATAATAAAATTAAATCATAGCCATTAAGTTTTATCTAGTAATATAGACTAAGATAATTGAGTATTGAGTAGAATAAAGATGAACTATGATCTAGAAAATCGAATGAATAAATCGAGGGTATGAAGAACAAGATAGTGTGGCCTTTTGTGTGTTCGCAGTATCCTTTCGTTGTATAGAGGTTATTTAACCTTGTTTTCGCAACTTGGTCACATTGATAGAAAGACTTAGAGGAACGCATCTAATACGGAGTCCATTTTATGAACCATAATTTCCAGTCGGACCGTGGACGTAGTACATTTCCAGACGTTTGATCGGTAACATCACTTAGTCTTGCCATTTTTAGGACTACGCTAAAACTCGTCAGGCAAAAGAAGCTGATCCTTTGACCAATTGTCTGCCAAACAAGCATATCTCTCCTTCCCCCCTAGGCTAATCACTAATCCTATGTCCTCGAACACTCTTTAATTATTACAATTTAACTTGCTTATTTAAATGTGTTATGATGTGCTCTTTTGAGCGGCTTTCATGAAAACTCTCCACACTCCACGCTGGTTTTCTCACCCCTCAACCCCTACACTCTTGTGCTAAGAATGTTGACCAGTCTGCCCTATTGTTATGCAGTCCTCCTTCCATAGGTCCTATCAATCTCCATCCTGCCCCGTAAGATCCGTCTACTATCTCCCTAGCTAAGTATGTCACTCGACCCCTGCCACCCCATCTGTGGTACTCGAGGCGTTATGTCCCACCCCTTGCATCTGTGTGACTAACTCGAGGCTACAGCCTCTAAGAAATTCCCATGATCAAGCCTTTTCTATATTTACCACGTCTATGGTAAAAACAGGTCGACTGTCAGCCAACTAGCTACAGTCTTCGCTGGTACTACTTGCT